TCTGTCTCTCTCTGTCTCTCTCTGTCTCTCTCTGTCTCTGTGTGTGTAACAGGACCTATTATCCTCCTAGCTCTCTACTGTTTTGGGGGGGGGGGGGAGCAGGAGTACCTACAGACAACCAAAGTAGCCAGATTAGCTGAGCTAGGATCAAGCTGCAAGTCACTGATTCCAGAAGAGTTGGAGAAGGGCACTGCGGGTGGGGGTGGTCTGGGAGGTCTTCAGGGAATCTTGCTTGTACCACTTGCTCACAGTAAGACTGGAGGCCAAGACACCTGACCATACCTGGCCACTATTATGTTAAATTCTGTTAAATTAGCATACTGAGGCTCACTTCTCAAGTTCATTATGGGTGACCATAGGGTCGCATAAGCAAAATGTCGGGCAGCCAGGTAGTCAGTAAAAGACTGCTTCAGTGTGAACGCACAGGGGTGTCAGTGTCTGTTGGGGAATGAAATGGTGTGGTAGGTGGAGCGGGGAGGAGAATTCTGGAACAGTAATACCGGAGTGGTAATTCATATTCAGAGAGGGCTGAGCAATCGGGTGGGAGAGAAATGGAGGCTCTGTTTAGAACCTCTCTGTGTCAGTGAGACCAGACCATGCCTTGAGTGTGGCCTTGGCAGCCATAGTCAGCCACTAATGGGGCTTCAGGTTCCTTGTTCATCACTGTCTCCTTAACATACCACATGTGGACACCCACCTACCCTTTTGCTTGTGGGACAGTCCGGGTCACATCCCTGCCCCCTTTCTCCTCACTTTATCTGCTTTGGCCCAGTTGGGTCATCAATCCCAGCTCTCAAATGTTCCTGGACTGCCCACTCCTCTGGGGTGCCATCTGTGAATGTTTAACACTTCACAGTGAACATCTACTGATAAAAGTCATAATATTTTACAGTTTAGGAGATGCCCGTACATTTACCTCTATTGTCATGGAGATGTTAGTAATAGCTGTTGCCCTTACTACTTAGGATAGGCTGCACAGTGTGCCAAGTACTTAGACACTGTCCGGCATAGTAACTCTACAAAACGGCTGGCTTTGCTGGGAAACTGGAGCACAGGGAGGTGCTCTGTCTTGCCCATATTCTTACAGCTAAACATCAGGGAACAGAGAGTCAGACCTGCATCTGTTTGAATTGTGAATCTGTGCTTCTCTCTGTCACTGAACAGACACTTAGCCAGCTTTTAGGAGATGTGTTATTCCTCAACTCCACCCTGTACTTCGAAAGCATTCCTTGCGAGTGACAAGCCTAGCCTCAAGTCTTCTTCCTTAGGCCAGGGTATGGCTGTGCTGGACCGAGTACAGAGCCCAGGAAGGAACCCTGGCCCTGGGCTTTGTGCTGGCTGGCAGGTATATTGCTTGCAGTGAGTCAGCCCCTCTGTGTCTTGTTAGTGTCCCAGCATCCCATGTCTCAGGTCTTCTGCAGTGTCCTTCATGACCCTGGCAAGAAGAAGAGACCACACCATGGGGCTGAAGGATGCGGTGGGACAGCAGCTGTGATTTTGGCCTAGCTGATATCTGGTCCAGGAGCACTGTGGTCACTTGAAGGAGGGTGGTGGCCTAGAGTGCAGGCAGCATGGTCATTAGCTGTGATTGAGAGCTGGTGAGGCTGGGCCAGGTTGGCAGGACTAGAGGCCAGCTGGCTCGGCCACTGTGGGGTCATTGGCAGGGCAGCTAGCTTCTCCTTGCTTTGCTGCTTGTATGGCGCCAGGGCTTTGTGGGCCATGGCTTGCCTACTGTTCTGTTGTGGTTAGGGGAGGATTGGTAGAATTCTTCTAAGCCTGGAGATGCTTCTTCCCAGAAGCCCTTGGGACTCCTCTCAAGCAGGTAGAGCCCCACCCTCCTCTGTTGCTAGCCCATGGCCCCTGTTTACTGACTAGCCTAGGGAGAGGATAGATCTGTCTGCTTGCTGGCCAACCTGAAGAACCCCTCCCCTGAATGCCTATCATTGTGCTTGGCAGAAGGAAGCTCTCCTAGGACAAAGAGACAAGTGGCCCCTTGCACAAGTCTTTCCACTCTGGCGCCTATTTTCTTATCTATAAGATGAGCTGATAATAGCAATGTGTGAGGCTTAGTGAGACATAGAGTGGGCACCCGCTGAGGGCTGGCACACAGGCTGGCACTCTCAGTGAACCCTCTTGCCTTTCCCTCTTTGGCCTTACGAACGAATGGCTCTGTGAGAAACTAACTGAAGAGCCCAGTGACTGGAGCTAGGGCATAACAGGGCGGACTTCCTGGAGGAAGCTCTTAGGTGAACTCAGATGGGAGATGCTGCCCCCAGCCCCTGCCCAGGGAGCAGCCATGTGTAAGCATGAGCAGAGTTTTTGGCTTGGGAGGGATCTTGAGCTGGGATTGGGGTAGGCCTGAGAAGTCTGGGACCTAGGTGTCTCCTCTCAAACACCACAGCAGCAGTGACCCAATTGGGACAAGCTGTTGGGATCTGACCAATAGATGCAGAATAAGCACGGATCAGTTGTTTGTTTGTTTTTACGGGGAGGT